ACTCCACGCAGAAAGATCCCGGGTGTCCTCACCGGGATGCGAACCGGCAACAGTGCTAACCACTGCTCCACCTTGCAGCCCTAAGTAACAATTTGCATGTCTTTAATAAATACACTAAAATTATTGTACAAAAAAACCCAGCTGATTCTGATCGGGTCGGGAAGCGCTGTAATTAAGTGTAACGCCTGTAGTCTAAAATGTAGAGTTAGAAACCATGACTCAGCTTTTACTCTCTTGGCGTTACAGATTATTGTTTCTTTTAACAAACGATGACACTGCAGTTTTGTTTTGTTTTTTAATAGTAGAATTAAAGTTACCTGATCATTTATTTCAGTCTTTGATGCTGCAGTATTTTTCTGATATTGGCACAACAGCTACAGTCAACAAATTTCACAACAAGGAAACCTAAGCAAGGGTTTTGTAAGGTTAAGCTTATCTTGCACAGTTGCTGCAGTGTGAATTTAAGAGGCAAGCTGTCAGTTTAAATGCAAACAGATTGGAACACAGGCATGTGCACAGGTTGCCTGCCTACAGGCACATTTTCCATGATGTCTGTCAGCACTTTAAAATTAAAGTTCATTTCACACTAGAGGTGATGCCATTCATTCACATCGGCCGTCCTGCACACAGAGCACGTTTACGACCCGCCGACAGACTTTCATTGATAAGGTCGGGGGGCTGTGTGGGAACAACTGCTTCATTAAAGATGAAGGAGAGGGATTTCATTGGGTGTGATGCAATTTGCACACTTCTCTCAACCTAATATACAGTCAGTACTGTAACTGAGGCGAGAGGATTAGAATGGTGGCTGATTGCAGTGAGGTCAGGTAGGGTGAGGGGAGACAAAAATAACTTTGGGTCAACACTTAAGAATGAGGTTTCTAACAATCCTGATAAAGAATGAGTGAGAGGAATTCAAGGCGGGTTGTGCGGACTGCCAATGCTCGGAGCTTTATTGTCGTTGGAATATGGAGTCAAAACCTGAGTTCTGCTCCCACGAAATGGCACGAGTCACATGATTTTTGTTTGGTTTTGTGTGCTGAAGGATATCCGCCGTATTTCCTCATCAGTCACAAATGTGCACGCAGACCTTTGGTGAGTTTTCACTTTCTGTGAGGAGCGCCGCCAGAGGATGCTGAGCAGAAGGACGAGCTGTGTCGACAAGCAGGGCGTCATTCAACCTGTCCAGCTCATTTGTACGGAGGCTTTAAACATGTCACGGCCCGACCGTGTACCACTGGGACCGGATTGAGTAATCCCGTCTTTATGACTGAACTGTATGAAAATTTAATGACTTTGAAACGTTCCCACCACAAACCAACTCAGCTGAAAGGCCGGGTGGATTTTAACAGCCCACAGTAAAGTCATTGTTGCGTTATGACGTTAACGTGGAAAGGTGCTGCTTGTGTGTGTGTTTGGCTGAGCAAGCCGTAATTAAGGAAGCAGTTTGATTTCTTTCTAAGTATAACCGACTTGTGATGCAATGTTTGGAGGGATATTAAAGAATCATTATGGTTGCAGTTGCTTGGCAGAAATGTATTTAAAATGAGAGCATGAATAGGCCCGTTTGGAAAGAAAAGGCGTAAAACAGTCAGGTCAGCGTAAGTATGTAACACATACATATGGAATATTGTGTTATGTAAGAGTTTGTCAGAATTTTTGGACCACTTTCATCGTATCAGTCCATGAATATGAATGAATGTGGTATACTCGCTGGACACATACATACGTACATGCATGTGAACCATCCCTGACACAAGAAGGTTCCTGATTATCCACAGATGCAGGGGACTCCCAGGGACCTCTTGTTGTTAAGGTCCACTATAAGGGATCTCATGTTTGCTTGTGGGATTTATAATGGAATTGCTGAAAACAATGAGATCTGACATTCAAAGAAGGAAATTAACGTGTGAAATGTTTTTTTTTTCTTCTTCTTGTTTGTGCTCCTTTGAGCCCCCCGGGGAAACACTGCTCAACACAGGCATGAGTCAGACACACAGTCCACAACTCACATAATGATGGACTGCAGAGAGGATTTAAATTCTTCATTTTGTTTATTTTATTTGCAAAAAAAAAAAAAAAAAAAACTATAAATGAGAGTTTCTCGGGCCAATTAGGTGAAAGATTGAAAGAAAACAACTGGAGTCAGATGTTGGTTAAACCCTGGCATGTGGATGGCATATGTCGCAGCATGGGATAGGTGAATTTATTGACCGGCAGCTAGTAAACTTTAGGGCAGCAAATAAATTACTTTTTTCCTGGTGGCTCAAGAGGTCAACATGGAGACACGCTGACAGCATGATGGAGACATAGTGAGCCAAGTCCCGGGTACAATGTCGCTCCTGCGGTCGGCGTTGCTGTAGCCAGGACGATTATGTAATCTTCAGCGCTACACTTACCATCAAGACAAAACTTTCTTGTCAAGAGTTAGAAGAAAAAATTCAACACCACTGCCATGTTTGGATGCTACACATGGTGTTAATATTCATTGTTTTTAGTTGTTATAATAACTAGTGTATTGTTAGAACACTACGCATCGCTGGATTTCACGCTTTGTGCTTGTGCATGGACCCGTCGGTTGACATCAAAGGT